GTGAATTTAAGAATTAAAGATTAAAGTTAATCAATAGCTTGGTATCACGATTCTCATTGCAACAGTGGGAAACGACTTCTAATTGCTACGATTTTCACGAGGTTGAGTCCGATTCTTAGATCTAGAATCTGAAAGCGTCTCTGGTGAAGAAATAGAGGTTACACAAAATCAAGATCTCATATTTGTGGTTCTTGGATCCATCGAACTCTAATCGATCGTTCATCTTGATCTCAAACCACCGTGAGAAGACACCAATAAATATCCTCAAATATGGATTCAGATCTATGATGTTCCGACCATTCAAACATAGTAGTTTGAGCTTAGATAGGTCAAGAATTTTTACCTATAACTCCTCCCGAGGCTTGCCAATAGATTCCTTCAGATCTAAAGTCAGATTCACAGAGTTAGGACCGATCGAGTTCCACCTCGCCTTCGACCGAGTAACATTCTAGGTCCATAATTGCCGAAGAAGTCCTTGGATAGAGCTCCGCAAATACGAGATAAGATTCATTACAAATTTGAGCAAAGACAAAAGAAGTTGTATATGATAGACATCTCTACACAGATGCGACCACAACCACTAAGAAGAATCTGGGCGTGACACAGGTGGGTAGTGTCAACGGACTATCTATGTCAATTTTAGGGGCATAATACACTTTATTTTTGTGTAATTTTAACACTTTCATCCCATGATTCTTGCATCAAATCCAAACCAAAGCCAATCAATACACAAATTTCATGATTAAACAGTCATAGAACAACTATCAACAAGTTTCATACCAAACCAACATCCAAGGTTAAACCTCATGATCATGAATGAGTTCATCCATATTTTTGGTAACCCTATTAGAGATACATCAAACAAGTATCATGCATGGAATATAATTATGTTAATTTCAGTTTTAAACATGGATTACTTGAAACATTACTCGTGGCATACATGCAACAATCACACAACAACATAACATGTTAAGAGATTATCATAATCTACATCTTCCCCATATGAAGCCCTAACTTACTAATTTCTACCCACAAGTTCTACACTAGGATCCCACCTTGAAAGAGGAAACCTAAAATGAATGAAGGTGATGCATAGAAATATAAGCTTGGTTTGAAGGGTTTGGTTCAAAAAGGTTGCTATTAATTGCTAAAGGAAGAATGGTGATGATGAACTTCATTTTTCTCCTCCTAAACGCGCTTCCTTCTTTCCTTTGATTATGATTTTGGTGAGACAGGGAAATGGGGGGAAAATGATAATTTCTCACTAAGGGAAAACTTAAATAGCTGATGTGAAGAAAATGACCATAATCCCCTTACCCTTAGCATTTATTAATAATAGGGTCGCTAACATAAAATTAAGTGGAAAAGGAACTTAGAACTCTAGGATATTACCATAGGTGTCTTACAACGGCTACTATTAGGGAAAAATGGATATGAAACTTTAGGCTTGGGCACTTGAATTTTAAGGACCTCAATGTTATGCAAACAAATAACATGGTTATGAAGCTGCCATTGATCAGCATGCCAACTGAAGTATGTGAAGAGTGTGTATAGGCCAAGAAACATTGAGGCAACTTTAGAAAAGATGCAGGATATAGAACCAAGTATCATCTTCAGGTGGTGTATTCAAATGTTTTTGGATCGATGCAAGTTGACTAAATCGGAAGAAATAGATACTTTGTCACTTTCATCGATGATTTTAGTAGAAAGTTGTGGACTTGCTTGATCAAAAGAAAAGATGAGGTGCTGGAAGTATTTAAGAAGTTCAAATCCTTGGTGGAAATACAAAGTGATCACAAAATCAAAACTCTAAAAATAGATGGTGAAAGTCAATGTGTCTCAAATGACTTTGGAAAAGTTTGTGATCAAGAAGGTACGGTATATGAGGTAGTGCCACCATATACGCCTCAACAAAATGGAGTCACTGAGAGGAAGAATCAATCAATTAAGAACATGGTGAGAAGCATGTTGACAGGGAAAAACTTGCAAAAAGAATTACGGGGAGAAACAGTATCCATAACTGCATATTTATTGAATAGGTGTCAAATAAAGAAGCTGAAAAATATTACCCTCAAAGAATCTTGATTTGGATTCAAGCCAAATATGAGTCACTTTAAGTTATTTGGTTCAGTTGCGTATAGATATGTAGTGGATTGCATTAGAAAGAAGCTAGATGACAAGAAAGATCAAATGACACTTGTTCAGTATCAATGTACCTGAGGCTACAAAATCTATGACGTAATCAACAAACAAATCATGATAAGTAGGGATGTGATATTTAAAGAATTGGGGGACTTCCAGCATGCTGAAATTAATTCAAATGGTTTTGAAATTATTCATGCAGTGTTTGAAAATGAGGAAAATGCATCAGGTGAAGTCCAAGTTGAAGAAAATGTGAGAAGATTAATGAGGCAAAGAGGCATGCCTGAAAGACTACAACATTTTGAGTTGTTCCCGAATAACGAATCGAATGATAATGTTGGTCTCGTCCATTTTACATTCATGACTGAATCTGAATCGTTGAAAACGGATGAGGCCTTGAGTGATCCAAAACGGATATGTGCAATGAAGGAGGAGATAAAGTTAATTGATAAAAATAAGGCATGAGAACTAGTTCATCTAGCACAAGGAAAGATATCAATTGGTGTAAGATGGGTGTACAAATTGAAGGCGAATCTCAAAAGTGAAACAATTAAGCATAAGGCTCAATTAGTTGCAAAGTATTTTTACAAAGAAAAGACATAGACTTTGAAGAAGTATTTACACTAGCGAGTAGAATTGAAACCATTAGGTTAGTTGTTGGTATTGAAAATAACAACAATTGGTCAATCTATCAAATGGATGTCAAATTTGTGTTTTTGAATGACCTTTTAGAAGAGGAGTTGTATGTGGTACATCCACCCGGTTTTATTGTTAAAAATCATAAATTCAAGTTCTATAGATTGAAGAAGGTGTTGTATGGGCTAAAGTAAGCACCAAGAGCTTGAAGCATAAGAATTGGTGGGTTTCTAAAGAAGATAAGACTTGATAAATATGTATCTGAACATGGTGTCTATGTGAAAAATAATACAAGCAAGTGAGTGATCATCCTATGTCTCTACGTTGATGATTTATTCATTTCGGGTAGCAATGAAGGTTAAATTGTCGAGTTCAAGGGTGATTCATTAAAGGAATTTGAAATTACCGATATTGGTATCATGACATATTTCCTTGAAATTGAGTTTCACAAGTCCGAAAGGGGACTACTCATGCATAAAAGAAGATATGCTTTTGAGATATTGAAGAATTTCAAAATGGAGCATTATAATGAGGTAATTGCCGCCGCAGAGCCAAGATTGTAGCTATCAAAGAATGAATGCAAACAAGATATTAATCCAACGCAATACAAGAGATTGATTGGATTATTGCGGTACTTGTGTAATGCGAGATCGTACTTGGCATTTAGCATGGACATAGTGAGCAGATTTATGGGTAAGCCAAATGTATCACACATGTCACCAATCAAAAGAATTCTCAGATATGTCAAAGGTTCGATTGATTGCAAAGTTTTATTTCCTGCAACAGATAAAGGTGAAAGCTGCAAAGGTTTGACCGATTGATTATAAATTGCTCGGTTATACCGACTCAAACTGGTGTGGAGATAAAGATGATAGAAAATCCACAGTTGGATACATTTTTATGCATGGAGAAACACCGATCTCTCGGTGTTTTAAGAAGGAACCATTTGTGGCGTTCTCTTCTTGCGACGTCGAGTACATTGCAACATCTATGTGTACGTGTCAAGTTGTATGGTTGATGAATTTGATGAAGGAGCTGTGCAACGAATAGTATGAAGTTGTGACATTGATGATAAGTAATGTTTCCGCTAAGAAGCAAGCATCCTTACCGAGAATCCCATTACGCATGGGAGATGCAAGCATATAGAGATGAGATTTCACTACTTGAGAGAGCTTATGAGTGAAGGAAAATTAATATTCGAGTATTGCAAATTTAAAGATCATGTGGCCGATTTGCTAACCAAATGAGTAACAATTGAAGTGTTCAAGAAGTTGAAAAAGCACATGAATATGGAAATTTGAATTAAGGTGGTGTGTTAAGAAAATAAAGTAATTTAAGTTAGTGTAACTGGCTATCACACCTTCAGTAGAATTCAGAATCAAATAGAAGCATAGTGTTACCAGTTACAACTTTAGTGTAATCGATTACCACCCTCCAATTTTTAGTTTTTAGAAGTCAGTAGTTTCTTGTAACCGGTTTCAGGGTTGCAAAATTCGTTTTTCTCATTAGTTGATTAGCTACATTAATGTGTCGTTCTATACAAACTCCATATTGGATCATTAATCTAAGAATATCATATATTCACCTACCTTAATTCTCTCTAATTTTCTCACTTTCTATATCTCTCCATTACTCACCATTATTTTGAGATTGGATTTTTTCCGGACAACATACATATTTCTCTAAATGTCTCATTTTCGATTTGTCCATTTAAAATATCAATACAAGTATTTGTTAATTTTTATTATTATTATTATTATTATTATTATTATTATTATCCTATTATTTATTATATTTTAATTCATTTAATTAACTTACTTACAACTATTAATAAGGATATTTTTATAAATTACATTTTATTTTTTTATTATTAAAATCAACACTTCAATTCATTATCTTAAAAAATAAATACAATTTAAAAATTATAAAATGGAGAAGTATAAATAATTTTGACTTGCGTGTAAAACTTTATAAATTGACCAAGACAACTTTAATGTGATAAATTACTATTCTCAGATCCCATTTTCTCAAGTAACATCTTCACTTCACCATCCCAATTTCATTCATTCCGTATCACAACTTCACCACTTTACTACCAAATCAAAATCACGAACAATCACACATTTACGCGCTTCGATTCTTCTTTCGCATTTCCAGAAAAACTAGGGTTTCAATTGAATTCTTCTACCCAAACCTTGGCGTTATCATCACCACACAGAGACATGGTACCTGAATTCAATTCGATTCAACTCAATTCATTCTTAATCATAATGCATAATCCCCAAATTTTGATTCCCAATTTTTGTTTTTAGGTTTATCACACTAGTTTTGTGGATGATGAAGGAGTGGACAGAGCTTGTGGATGCCCTCTTCTTCCATTAAAAAGCCACATTAAGGGTCCCGCTCCTGTTTCCGATCAAGGTTTTTCTTTTTCTCTTTCAAATCGTTGTTTATGTTGTTGTGTTTTTCAGAATTTGAGATATTTTGTTGTTGTTGTTGTTGTTGTTGTTGTTGTTGTTGTGTGTTGTAATGGTAGATAGAACTGATATTGTGGATGAAGCGATCACATTCTTCAGAGCCAATGTGTTCTTCAGAAACTTTGACATCAAGAGTCCTGCTGATAAGCTTCTAATATACTTGACTTTTTACATTAATGTTGCTCTCAAGAGGCTTGAAGGTTGTAGAACTTTGGCCGAAGGAACCAAAGCGGTTATTAACTTGGGTCTTGAAAATGTTCCTGTACCTGGAGAGTCTGGTTTTCCTTTTCCAGGTCTTTTTGTCATTCCTCAATCTAATAACGAAGCAGGTTAATATTCCTTTATCTTGCTAATTTCATGGTTAGATATGCATATGCTGTTTAATTATGCATGAATCGTTTGGGAGAACCTGAGTTCGAATACTATTATACTGACTGAACCATTCTTGGTCAGACGTCGGTCCTTTTTCATTGAGAACTAAAGGGTTGAGATGAAAAAATTGTCTTTTAGAAGTAGAACTTTGATTTTTTTTTTCTGTTCAAATTTTTATGGATGATTTTATAAAATCTTTACATTTGCTACCTTAATATACTCTAAACTAATGTCACCAAATGTGTGGGTGACTGTCCATGCCTCATTGTCTGGCTTTTGTTTGAATTATAATATATTGTATCATTGGCTGCTTGGGTTGACACCTGCGAGCATGTCAAGACGGAAAATAGATGACAACAGTTCTTTGTATGTTCGTTGCCTTTTTAGTTTTATCAAAATAAGCATATGAGACATAGGACCGGGGATGAAGTTAGATAGGCATTTCATAAGCTTGAGACTAAAGGCATCGGATGGTGTTAATACCAAATGTCGTTGAGCTGGCATTGGTCATGAGACACCTAATTAAGCACTCAAGTTTGGAAACTTTTATTCAGAAAGAGAGAGGCTCTTCTTAAATCATTTCCAACTTCTAATTGGGCTACACGATCAGGATGTTGTTAATTTTGCAGTGGTTCTTAGGTGCACTGGTTCTTAGCAAGAGAGGTGTTTTTAACGCAGAGGTGAAAGTTGGAGATCGTATCATACTACAAGTTACACGATTTAAATGTCTTGGATACGTAGTACAAAACGATGGAGTAATGGAAGGAGACATAAACTATCAAATTCAAGTTGGGTGTTTGGAATGGAGGAGGGCCTTGGGTGTTTTATGTGGCATGAAAGTACCTCTCAAATTGAAGGGAAAATTCTATTGGAGAGCGGTAAGACTGGCGATATTGTATGGACGGAATGTTGGACGGTAAATAACCAACACAAAAATAAAGTAAATGTAGCTGAGATGAGGTTGTTGTGTTGGATGTGTGCTAAGAACTAAACGATATAAGATTAGAAATAACAATATTAGAGAGGGTGTTGAGGTAACACCTATAGTTGAAAAGATGGTGAAAAATAGGCTTAGGTTGTTTGGACAGGTAGAGAGAAGACTTGTGGACTCTGTAGTAGTAGTAACAAAAGTAGATTAGATGGAGGGTAGTCAAACAACTAGAGGTAGGGAAAGATCTAGAAAACCCGTAAGAGAAACTATTAGGAAAAATCTTGAGATTTAAATGTCAGATAGAAACATGGTTTTTTATAAAACATTATGGCGTAGTTTGATTCATGTAGCTGACCCCATTTAATGGGATACGACTTGATTGTTGTTGTTGATGTTGTTCTTAGGTGGACTAATTGTTTGGATTTCAGTTGAAAAATAGAGGTTTAGAAATACTTTGCAAAATAGAGTACAATATTACTTCCCTTAGGAGTGAATGCTCGCCAAAATGAAAACTTCAGTTCTATTCCTTTCTGCATGTAAGATGAATGTTCTACGAATAACAGTATATAAGGTTTCTTATTTCCTCTTAAATTTTTGTCTTTGGGCCTTTATGTAGAGTCAAGTCGAGAGGACTTTTACTAATTTATTCTACGAGCTTATGATCTACCATTGACTGAACCATACATTGTAGCTTTTGACTCTCCGTTTAACATGATTGTAAACAATGCTTCTTGATGCAAATGCTTGCTGACATTGATCTTTGAATATTTTGTTGTGCTCAATCTGGTTGATGTAACATTGCAATTTAAATAATTTGTTTGTAGAACACATGAATTCTTATATGTAATCTTTGTAACTTCAAAAAATGCAGAATTGTTCAGAAATTATTTGAAGCAGATAAGGGAAGAAACAAGTGGGAGATTACTGAGTGTTGCATACAGACCTAATGGCACTCCAAATAAATGGTGGTTGGCATTTGCAAAAAGGAAATTTATGAATGTAATCACCCGTTGAACTGTTTGTGGCAAACATGCAGTTGCTTGAATTATAGATTAAGCTGTCAAAAATACACTTCTCAACACTATTGATCTACCAATAAAAAATATAATGATTATTGAGAGGCATGTTGCTTCTCTGTTTTGAATATTTTATTTTGAAAATTCTCAACTACTACTAATTAGGTAGAGTTCATAATTGAGCTGACCCCAACCTTTGCTTGTGCTGGTGGTGCTGGCCATGTTTAGTTGTTGTATACTTGTATTATCTATATGAAGTAATTGGAGAAGGGAAATGCTAACTATTGTCTCGTAACACTTTTTAACGTCTTAAAATAGCAAGTATTTTTTAGAACTGTGCGTATTTAATGTATTGGAAATTAAAATGGCTAATTTTTTTATGAAATATTCCCTTTATTTAGAATGCTTAGAGAATGCCTTTGGGGCACTGATAAGCTAAAAAAAAAGTTTTATTTTACTTATTTCATTTTTCAGTTTTATTTTACTTATATTTTTCATCAATATTTACCTATTTTAAAATGTTTCCTTTTATTCTTAATGGGGGTTAATTTATATTAAAAAATATATCCTGCAATCGCAGTTGTTTAAGTAAAAATAAGATTGATCCGAATTTCATTCAAAAAATCAAAGAATGGTTAAATAAATTTGAGCACATTAATTAAAAATCATTTTTGAGAAATTATTTTTGTATATATAATTGTTTTAAAAATAATTCTTAAGAGTAACTAAAAATTTGCTTTTCTTATGATCTAATTAATTAATATTATATGTATCACTCTCAAATTAATGTCTTTTATTATTAATAATTCATTTTATATTCATGATAATTATTCATAAATAAATTATTAATTTTTTTAATTAAAACCATATTAAAGAAATGTTATAGTACATGTCACTACAACTACCATATTATAATAAAAGATTAAATTACCCTACTATGTTCTATTTAAAAAATCAGTCATTCTATTTTGTTTATAAACAATTTTAGTCTTCCAGCTTGAAATTAAATCTAAAAACGACGAGGTGTAAACTTTTTTAATATGTGGCGCGTTTTTGATAAGGTGGCATGAGATTTATTAATTTTTATTCCCAAGTCATTTTTTAAATAAGTTATTTATTAATATTTTTTTATATAATATTAAATTAACTTTTTTAATTATTATTTTTTTAAAAATTTATATCAAAATTAATTAATACAAATATTAAAATAACAATATTTGAGCTTAAGGCCCAACTCTCCAACCCACAAGCATGTCTTGGATAATGTTTGTATAATTATATATACATTCGAGGTAAATACAATCCAAACAATGTGAGATTTGATAGAGAGTACCTTGCAAAAAATGTCAATTAGTTTCCTCTTTTTGCAACCTCAACCATGGTTTCAAAAGTTAACATAGCACTTCCATCAACGGAAACATAACAAGTAAGCTTCTCTCTGCATCGTGCTCTTTCATAGATGTTATCTTCTTGCATTGTACTGCATCCCAAATCTACGCAGACATTAGTTAAAAACAAAGCTTCAGCCAATTTGAGGCATACAATATTTTCCATTATAACGGCTAGTGTTGCATCCTATAATATTTTCCATTACAAAGCTTCCTTAATGACTTCTAAAAAAGAGAAGAGAACAATCAAACATGCAGAATGGTTGTGTAATAATAGTAGTGTCATGATTGTTTAGTAAAAAAGATTGTGTCGAATTGAAAAGTGTATTGTAGATCTGAATGTTCCTTCCCCAGCCAACCATCACCGTAGCTGCTTACTGTTAGAACAAAAGAGTTTTCAAAAAGATGGAAGAAAAAGAAAAGAGAAAAGTGATAGAAACTAAATTGTAACAGAGATATTATTAAGTGAAGTTATTAGGACTTACATCATACAATGTCTTTATCTATTAAAGTCTAAACTTAAAACTATACAAATCGACCCAAGCCTAAAACATACACAATGCAACATACAAAAATACAAGTTACATTTCGACATAACAGCTATATGTTCTTTTCAACTCAGTCGAATACAGCTGACTCCTACACCTCGACTAGATACTTCGACATAGTCAAATGCTAATTTTCAATAGATAATTAAATTACAACTAACACATCTCTAATTCATGTTCTCGATACTTCTCATCCCGATGCTTCACTTCAACTAGTCGAACATGACTTTCTTAAGGGGTTTGGTGAGTATATCAGCTAGTTGCCATTCTATATTGCAATGCTCAAGTTCAAGCTTTCCTTTGTTAACTTGCCCTATCAGAAAATGATATCTCCTCTTTATGTGTTTACTTCGACCATGACACACTGAATGATTTGTCAACTCGATTGTTGACTTGTTGTCGACAAACAACTTCATTTTCTTAAGTTCCATTATCTTGATCTCTTCGAGTAACATCTCTATCCTTGGTGCTTGACATGTTGTGTATGATGCAACCACGTACTCCGCTTCACAAGTTAACAAAGCCACGATGCTTTGCTTCATTGAGCTCCATGAGATAGGAGCGACTTCGATCATGAATATGTAGCCTGCAATACTCTACTTCTTGTCTTAATCTCCACTAAAATCTAAATCAGTGTAGCCACATACCTCTACATCTGTGCTGGTATTCTTCCATATTGGCATCAACACACCATAATCAATCATACCTTTAATGTATCTCAATACTCTCTTGACTGTAGTGAGATGACATTCTTGACACTTCTCCATGAATCTGCTTAACAGTCCGACACTTTGACAAATATTTGGCCTGGTATTACAAAGATAACTCAAATATCTAATTATTTGTTTATACAGTGTTGCACTTACAAACTCATCATTTGTCTCCTTCCTACACTTTTCTCCAGTTTTTAATGGCGTAGTAGCTGCATTACAATTGCGCATCTTGAACCTCTTTAAGATATCTTTGGCATACTCGTCTGGTGCAAGAACACTCCTTAACTTGTGTCTTTGAACTTCACCCCTAAGAAATATAACAAATTTTCTAGGTCAGACATTTCAAACACCTGCACCAGCTTTGACTTGACTCTTTTTATCTATGTTTCATCTACACTTGTAATTAACAAGTCATTTACATACAGGCATATGATGATTCGACTGACCTTATCTGCATCATTGGCATACACTTCATGTTCAGAGATACACTTTGTGAAATATGTTTCAATCAGGAAGCTATCTATTATCTTATTCCAAACTCTTAGGGCTTTCTTCAAACTATATAGAACCTTCCACAATTTATACACCTTCGACTCCTGCCCTTTGATTTTGAATCCTGGTGGTTGACTGTAATAGAATTCTTATTCTAGAGGTCCATTTAAAAATCCTAATTTTACATCCAACTGATGCATCTCCCACGCTCTGTATGTTGATGTCGTCAGAAAAGTTATGATGGTTTGCATCCTCGCCACAGGTGCATACACTTCATTGAAATAAATATCAGGTTTTTATAAAAAAAAAACCTATCGTCACTAGTCTTTCCTTATGCTGGGCAATTTCACCATTTGTCCTTCATTTTAGATTGTAAACCTATTTCACATCAATTGGCTTCTTGATTGAATTTTCGACAAGCTCCTAGTTCTTGTTCTTCTCGATTGATCTGAGTTCTTCTTGCATGGCTGCTAACTAATTTGAATCATTCATGGCATGATCCAAATTAAGCGGTTTTGCTTTGACCATCATCATCACTTATTATATTAAGTCACCATCATCATCGACTGCTTAATATGGAAATCTCTCATATCCAGCTAACCTTGTCGACTCAGTTCTTGTTCTAGTCAATCTTCTAACATTCTGCTCAGGTGGTTCTTCGTTTTGATTGGTTGGGACTTCAGTTTGTTGTTCTTCTTCAAACACAATTGTAACTGTATCTGACTCATGTCAAATTGACCCATGACTCCAATCCACCCTTTGCTTTCATCCACTAAAACATCTCAACTGATCACAAGTTTATCATCATTTGGTGAATACAACTTGTATGCACCAGTCGAATGATAACCTATGAGCACCATAACCTAACTTTGATTACCTAGTTTCTTCCTCAATTGTAACACTGCACCTCCTTCATGTTAAATTTATTTCTAAAATACTTGTTGCCCATCCCTTTCTTGATTGAATCAGAGTGATTCTTTGAATTCTTACTTGATTTCTCATCATTAACAAGATTATTTCCCTGCTTCTCCTTCTCTTCCTCGGATTTTTTGATGAATCTTGCTTGTAGTGTCTATTCAGCCATCTTCTCCCTTTATGAGTTTCTAAGCTTTAGCCTCATCTCACAAGTCTCTAATGAAGCTTAAAGTTCTTGTAACTTCATCTCAGCTAGATCCTTTGACTCTTTAACTGACACTACAATGTAATCACAATTTGCAATCAAAGATCTTAACACTTTCTCAATCTTCTGATTATCGTTGATTGATTCACCACACGCCTTCATTTGGTTTGTTAACAACACTACACGTGAAAGGTATTCTGATACTGAGTCATGTTCCTTCATCTGAGTCATCTTAAATTGCTTTCTCAACGTCTACAACTTCACCCTTTTCAGTTTTTCATCTCTGTCGTACAAGTTCTTTAACTTGTCTCATACTTCCTTTGTCATTTCTTCTTCAATGATTGTCTCAAACACGTTTAGATCCATACACTGGTGAATCAAGAATAAACAATTTTCATCTTTCTTTCTTCGTTCCTTGTGTCCAGCTTATTGAACATTGTTCGCATTCTCTTCCAATGCATGTACTTCATTATTCATGATTTCAGCCACATCTTGAAACCTAAAGATGACCTTCATCTGCGCAACCCAATGTTCATAGTTTTCACCTTTGAAAATCGGTAGATTCGCTGATAATTGCGTTGATATTGTGTTCTGTTTATAATTACAAATTCTCTATAAATCACAACCAAACTCTTTGATACCAATTTATTGGAACAAAAGAGTTTTTAAAAAGATGAGAGAAGAAGAAGATGAGAGAAAAAAGATTGAAATTGAATTGTAATAGAGAGATATTAATA